AGCCTTCTGTGTTCATGAGGAACCATGGAAAGGATGCAGCAAATAGATGGAACCTTAGTCCCTGAGACTTTGTGGAGCTTCTAAACATAACCTGGACCTCCTGATTCTGGATTTATTTATTTATTTATTTATTTATTTATTTATTTATTTATTTATTTATTTTTAAAGGAAAAGGGGCAGTTGTTTAACCGACCCTAGTTATTTTATTTATTTATTTATTTAAATATTTTATTGATTTTTTTACAGAGAGGAAGAGAGAGGGATAAACAGTTAGAAACATCGATGAGAGAGAAACATTGATCAGCTGCCTCCTGCACACACCCCACTGGGGATGTGCCTGCAACCAAGGTACATGCCCCCGACTGGAATCGAACCAGGGACCTCTCAGTCCGCAGGCCGATGCTCTATTCACTGAGCCAAACCGGTTTTGGCATGGACTTATTTTACATGGGAGAATAGTCTCAAATTATTTAAACTATCCTAATTGGGTTTTTATTACTAGCATTAAAATACAAATATTTTTGTTAATCCTCGTCTAAGGATATTTTTTCCATTAATTTTTAGAGAGAGTGGAAAGAAGGGAGGGTGGGGGAGGGGGAAGGGGGAGAGAGAGAGAGAGAGAGAGAGAGAGAGAGAGAGAGAGAGAGAGAGAAAAACATACATTGATGTGAGAGGGACACTCTGATAGGTTGCCTCCTGCACATGCCCTGACTAGGGCTGGGGATCAAATCTGCAAACCAGATACATGCCCTTGACCAGGAATTGAAACTCTTGACCCTTAGGTCCATGGGCCGACACTCTAACCATTAGCCACACAGGCCAGGACTCAAATACAATTTTTAATTGACACAGAATTATTAGGGGAGACTTCTGTAGTATAATTTTCAACAGTAGCCGTAGAAATATCTCCTATCTCACACATGGTCTTTATGCGATGTGAGCTCGATATTCCTCCAGCTGAGTGATAGAGACTACATTCATTCTCTCCGCTTGAACTTGGGTGGACCTTTGTGACTATCTCAACTAATAAGAGTATAGTGGAAGTGGTGTTATATAACTCCCAAGGCTAGGTCATAAAAATGCCACGCACTTCCTCCCGGCTCGTTCTTGGGACACTTACTCTTGGAACCCAGCCACCATGCTGTGAGGAAGCCCAAGCTTGCCCATGCAGAGACCACATGGAGAGGTCACAAGTAAGCACTCTGGCCAACAGCCCGGCTGAGGTCCCAGACAATAGCCAACTCCAACCAGCAGCCATGTGAGTGAAGGCACCTCTGGGTGATTCCAGGCCCTGACCATCAAGTCACCCCTAGTCTTTGTTTTTAAATTAAAAATCTAATTAATTTATTTTAAAGTTTATTTTCCAGTTACAGTTGTCATAAAATATTATATTGGTTTCAGGTGAGTCAGCCCCAGTCTCTAAGGCTTCTCCAGACATCTTGGAGCAGAGACATGCTCCCCCCACTTTGCCCTATCCAAAGCCCAGAAAACCTATGAGTATAATAAAATGGTTGTTTTATGCCATTAAGTTTTGGGGCAACTCCTCTTCTTTGAGGAGGTGATACTTGAACTGAGACCAGAGTGAGAAGGAGGAACTGGCTACGAGAAGATCACGGGCAGGACATTCCAGCAGAAGGAAAAGCAAAGTGGAAAAGCCAGGAGACGTGACTTCATTCGCTCTTTGGCTGGAGACAGTACAGGAGCGGCAGACAAGGACCCGATCACATAGGGCCCTCTGAGGTATAAGAACTTCTCCCTGGGCGCCAGACGGTGATAACTGCCAGAGTCACCTCTCCTAGTCGGCAGACTGGATTCTGAACAGGCCTTCCATGCCTTGGCCCAAATAAAGGACCCAGGATAGGAATTTTTAGCTGCTGCTAAGAGAGGGATTTATTTATTTATTTTTAGATGAGAAAACAGGATTAAATACATCCTTGTCTGTTCAAAATCTCCAAGGACTCACTATACACAAAGGAAAGTTACAGACCTTTCAGCCCGACATTTTAAGCACTTCTCAATCTGATCCGAACATTGTTTTTGGACCCATCACCTGATCCCTGTTTCCACCTCCAACCTGCCTTTCCAAACGTATCCATGTCCTAACCATTTTCTAGTGATGATGCTCCATTCTCCAGACATATCATGTACATGCAGGCCAGTGGGCATGTCCACGCTGACACCTGCCTTACGAGCTCTCCTCCATTAGAACTTGGCCTTGTCCACTAATTCAAAGTCCACCCCAGTGTCAATTCTCCTGCCTCCCTTCCTGGATAGGCCAACGGAGAATAAGTCTCTCCCTCCCTTACGCGCCTGCAGACTTAAGTCGTTCTCCCCACATGTATCCCACAATAAAAGAGAGACTCCTCAAGAGCTGGCTCATCTTTGGGGCTCCAAAGCCTATCTCACTCCCTATGGTACCTCCTGTGCTGTTCCATTCAGAAGGAATAAGTTGGATGGATGGAGAGTCGAATGACTGGATGAATAGAAGGGTGGATGGTTAGATGGATGGGTGGACATATGAGTAGTGGATGAATTGAGGATGGTAAATGGCTGCATGGACGTGTCCTTAGATGCATGGCTAGATGGAAGGACAGATGAATGGGTGAAGGCTGGCTGGATGAATGGAGGCAGATGGACAGGTGGATGAATGTGTTTTTGACTAGGTTCTCAGAAGGATGGAGTGAGTTTTTAAACCAGAAGTCAGCAAGCTTTTTCTGTAAAGGGACTGATAGATATTTTCAGACATTGTGTTTCACAGATGGTCTCCGTTATTCATTCCTTCTTCTTTGCCTTTTCTTTCAGCAAACGTTTAAAACATGTAAAACCCATTCTTAATTAATAGGCTCTACAAAACAGAATCTTGGATGACCAGCATTTTTAGTAATTTCTGAGTTAGCTCTATCTACTAGTACTATTTGATAAGCACAGAGGTGAATCCCAAACTCAGAAGACCAGAGGTCACCCTCAGCCCCCTCTCAACAACAGCATATGGAGTGAAGGACTTTTCTAGCTGGGGAGGTTTAGAAGGCACGGTTGCCCCTCTTCATCACTGGGCAGCCTTGAAATTTCAACAGCATCACATCTCTAAGGAGAAGCTCTGAAAGAGAACCTACCAATTTAGCAATCGGCAATAGAACCAGGTTGGGGAGTGGAGTGAAACGCCCCAAAGTCTAAGAGTCTCCTTTTGACTAGGGTCCCAGACTAGGACTTGGAGTCACGTTGTGGCATTTCTGCCATTTCTATCCCAATAAGCTCTGACATCATACATGTAACTCCAGGCCACAATTTCCCGCAACTAGCTTATGAGTTGCGATTTTTATGGGCTTTTTTTTTTTTTTTTTCCTCCTCAGGTTATGAATTACCAGCAGCTTCAACAGCTTTCCAACTGGCAGGAAGCAGTGCAAACACAGATGGAAGTTTCCCAGTTAAAACCCTCTTAACAAAGTCATAAAACAAAAAAGCCCAGCCCAGCCCCTCTCTGACATGCTGCCAGCTCAGAAGCAAGTGAGAGAGAAGAAAAAAAAAAAAACACGTAAGAGTGATTGTCGCTGCCCTTGCTAAATAGATCTTTAAGATGTAAAGGTGGGAGGAGGGTACTGTTCCATCTCATACATGAGGGCTTTGAGGTTAAAAATGCACACAAAGCTCTCTTCCTGAGGGCAAAAATGAGGGGCTGAGATGGCAGACCCGAGCAGTGCTCTGTCTCCTCCTAGGGACGTGGGGGCCCTGCTCACACAGCAATGCGACCCCAGGGTAGTATCACTGTCAGGGACCTCAGCTGCATTCGGCAGGAGATTGGCTTGGTGCTTTGCTTCTTCCAGAGAGGTCCCTACCCCGAGGAAATCCAAAGGCAGTTGGAAATTCAGGATTAACACAGGAAGACAGTGCACTGAGAGTCAGGAGAATAACTGACTCAGTCACTGTGTGACCCTGGCAAGTCACTCCCTCTGAATCTCCTTAATAACACCGACAAAATGTTCAGGGTGGACATCCCCAGTTCTGACATTCTTGGAAAGACATGGCAAACAATACCAAGCAGGGCAGAATCAGATACTAAACTACAAGGAGACTGCAAATGGCTGAAAGGCCCAGAGTAGTAAGGAGCTGTCACAAGAGCCTGTGGTAGCTGAACCCACTACATTCTTTCAATTCCCTTATTTTTGCTGTACCCTATTTCCTTTCCTCTAGTATCACCTCCTCAGGGAAGCCTGCCTAGATTTTCCCAGGTTGTCAGTCACTCCCCTTGTGCTTTGAATAATATTGATTCACTAATCTGATTCCTTCACTGGCCAGATAGCTTCTGGGTAAGGGCCCTGTCTGATCTGTCTTTCCATTTCCCAGCTCTTCTCACCAGCAACCGTTCAAAAATATCTGTTGATCTGAAGCAGACTGCAAAGGGAAACTTTCCAGGCAATATTTTGGGTTGTGAAGGGTAGAGGTGTCTGATATCTGGTCAGTCCCCAGGACTGGCTTCCTTTCCTTTGAGAGTCCAGAGGATTCCTTTACCACTAAGTCAGGCATAATTGCCCCAATGTTGGGATAGCTAAGAAAAGCCTCATGATACCCCCAACTGCTCTGTCACTATGCAAACACATCACCATCTCTATATGGCCTAAAACATGTAAAACACACACACACACACACACACACACACACACACACACACACACAGTCACACACACAGCAATACCTCAAAACTACAGCTGTCCTGCCTTCCTCAATAAGAGGGCTGAGGAAACCACAGCTAACCTTCCAGAAATCTCACCACATCCCCCAAGGAGCCCCCACCTGGGCAGAGAGGTATGTCCATAGACAGCATGGCACCGTCCACTATGAATCATGTGAATTAGGAGACAGACTTCTCTGAAAAGCCTCTGAGAACACATGCCTACAGCCAAACCTCTGTTCATGGAAATCACCTCTGCCTCTTCATTGCTATTCTTATATCGCCGCCTTGTAAAAGTGCTATTAGTTTTGGGCAATTAGAATGATTAACTCACCAGATGTAAGTGCTGGAGCATCTCCACGTATCTGTAGAAGGAAAGGAGGTGGAGTTTGCATTAATTCCCATCCTGTATAAGCCAGGGAGGGGTGACGTTCCATTAACAAGCTCAAGGCCACAGGCAGTTGCTTAGGGACTCACGCTTTTTCTGAAGACAGCAGTTCCTGTGCGATGACTTGGGCTCTGGACTGTCCTTCCACCTGCGGGAGGAAACAAGAACTGTCAGGAGGGGCAGCACCAATGGGGGCAGCCAGAGGGAGACCTCGGATCCACAAGCATCAGGTTCACAGAAGGACCTCCATGCTGCCCAAGGCAAATTCCACAAACTTCTCAGTTCATTCCCTGACACACAATACCTGTGTGATCTTCAACCTTCCTGCAGCTCAGTTTCTTCATCTGTAGATGTGCATATAACTAGCAGCTAACTCAGAAGGTTATTGAGCTAATGCTCAGCACAGTGTCTGATATATAGTAAGTGCTGTGATCTTGAATAACCTGTAATTCTCTGTGCATACGGAGAGCTCTCTCCTACTTTTGTCTTTACAGATGCTGATCCCTCAGTGTCCCTTTCCCCTTCTCTCTCTGGCTAACTCCCAGTTATCCTTAAGACTTAGCCTCAGCATCACCCCCTCCAAGGTGACTTTCCTGACACCCTCCCTGAACCGGCTGGGTTAGCTATCCTTTCTGGGCAGTGCAATACTAAGCAGTGCAGAATCAGAAGCTAAACTACAAGGAGACTGCAAATGGACCCCAATTATGTCTCCCCAGGAGGGACCAGCAATTTCACCTCTGCATGAGCAGTGCCCGGCATACCATAGATTCCTTCTTTTGACTGAAAGAATGAATAAGTGAGAGAATTATCCACTTTGGGAGCATTAATGCTCTTGGCTGACCTCAGAAGGCAAGTCACATACCCTATCTGAGCCCCAACTTCCACACCTGTAAGGAAGGTGCCTGGGCATTCTGCCACAGCAGGCCCTTCCTCAGTAGCTCCAAACCTGCTGCACATCTGCACATCAGACATGGTTGGTGGCTGGGATCCAGAAGAACAAAGACTCTATGGGCAGCCTAGCAGAACAGATGGTGGATGCTGGGAATGTGCAGGCATGGCTGTGGAAGTGGGGGGGGGGGGGGAGAAGGAGGCGGGGCAGGGAGAAAGGGGGATGCCTGGCTTCTGGTTTCAGTTCTGCCACCACTTCCCAGTACAACCCTACACAAGTAACCTTCTGAGGTCGGGTCTCAGTTTCCTCGTGTGTGAACAAAATGACCTTTAAATTCACTTCCTATGTGTTACCATACTTGAGAAGTTACTGGTCAAGTGAACAATCTACTCTAGAAACACACTACCTGCTGATAGAGCCACTATACAGTGTGGCAGTTACGAACATGAACTCAGGAACTAGGCAGTTTGGGTTCAAATCCTGCCTCTGCCTTTTTCACAAGTTGAACAAATCATTTATAGAATGTTATCTAACACACACGTATATTGTAAAGATTAAATGAGTGTCTCTCTCTCTCTCTCTCTCTCTCTCTCTCTCTCTCTCTCTCGCCATATATTAAAAAGGTAATATGCTAATTAGACATGACATCATTCTGGATGTCCTTCCTGATGAAGCTGGGGCCAGAGGGAAGCCACTCTGGGTTCTGGGTGCCTGCCGGTGGCAGGAGGAGGAAAGCCCAGGTCCCAGGTGCTGGAAGGAAGCCAGTGCCGGCAGCTGGGGGAAGGAAGGCCTACTCTTGCATGAATTTTCCTGCATCGGGCCTCTAGTGTGTGTGTGTGTGTGTGTGTGTGTGTGTGTATAATTTATATATATATATATATATATATATATATATATATATATATACACACACACATACATATATATGTATATATATATATATAACCATCTATAGATCTATAAATCTATCTATACATAAATACCTACCTAAAAATCAATCATCTGACAGTAGCAGTTGAGGCAGTGGAAAGCAAATGGGCTCTGGAATTGAGCACATCCAAGTTCAAATCCTGGCCCAGCATTGTTTAATTGTGTGATCTTTGGCAAACCATTGCCCCTGAGCTTTAGATTTTTTTCATCTGAAACACGCTGGAAAATAATCAACCTGACCTCATACTCTGGTCTTTTTGATTATGTGTTCCTGACTCAGGGCCTTTGCACTCGCTGTCCTCTATGCTTGTGATGTTCTTCTCCACATCTTCTCATTCTTACTATCTGACTTTTTCAGGTTTTTAAAAAATACATATTTTATTGATTTTTTTACAGAGAGAAAGGGAGAGAGATAGAGAGCTAGAAACGTTGATGAGAGAGAAACATCGACCAGCTGCCTCTTGCACACCCCCCACCGGGGATGTGCCCGCAACCAATGTACATGCCCTTGACCGGAATTGAACCTGGGACCTTTCAGTCCACAGGCCGATGCTCTATCCACTGAGCCAAACCGGTTTCGGCTTTTTCAGGTTTTTGCTCAAAGGTCACATCCCATCCTTAGTGTGGCCATCCGTGACCACCTGCCCTGAAGAACACACAGACTCATTCTCTCAACCGGAGTTTCTCAGCCTTGGCTTCACTGGCATTTTGGGCCAGACAACTTTTGTTGTAGGACTGTTAACAGCATCCATGGCTTTTACCTGCTCAACGAGAGTAGCAGCCCCCAATCTCATTTGTGACAATCAAAAATGTCTCTAGGCATTGCCAAGTGTCCTCTGGGGGCAAAACCTCGCCCCCCGTTGAGAATCACTACCCCAACCCTTTATCTTGCTGGATTTTTCTTTACAAAAGATTTTTAAAATTAATTTTCAGAGAAAGAGGGAGATGGAGAGAGAGAAAAACAACAATGTGAGAGCAAAACATCAAATGGCTGCCTCCTGCACACCACCTTCCCATCATGGATCGAGCTGGCAACCCGGGCATGTGCCCTGACCTGGAATTGAACCAGCAACCTTTTGGTGCAAGGGACCATGCCCAAGCAACTGAGCCACACCAGCCAGGGCACTGTACTTTTCTTGAGAGCAGGCATAGTCCTTAATGTTATCCTTACACCCAAAATTCAATAAATGTTTGAACAAACTGATAAAATTAGATACACTGCCCAACACATAGTAGGTGCTCAATAAGTGAGTTCTCTCCCTAGCTAACCCATCTCTAATAGATTCTTAGTGTTTTCTGGAGACTCAGTCCCTCTGAAGCCACCCTAACAGTGCAGACCCTGGGACCACAGTGTAGCTAGTCTCCCTCCTGCATCTCATTGCGGCTGTCACGGCATCCACGGAGCAGGAGGGAAACTTGTGAGGCCTGCAGAGGCCTCCAGCCTCACCTGGCCTCCCGCCCTCCCACTGGCGCCGAACTGTGACTCACCGTCTGCCCTCTGCATCTGCAGGGCTAGCACGGGGCTCTGTGGACAAGAGCGGCTCACTCTTCCCAACGTGGGGGCTCCTTCAGAGTCCCACGTGTGAAAAAGCTTTGTAAACAAAACCCTTTCAATGGAAACTGTATTCTGCCAGGACAGGCCTCTACAGCTAAGAAAACCCTGTGGTCAAGCTTTCCATAAAGGGAGTTACTCTGCAGAGTAAGGACAAGAGATCCGAAAGTTCAGGTTCTTGCCCTATAAAATGAGGACAAGAGTCAAGATGGCCTCCAACCTCCAATCTTCCAGGGGCCTGTGACTCAATTCTCATTTGTCGTCCAGCAGGATGCTGAGAAGGCCTGATGCAAATTCTGGGCTCCACCTCTCCTTGTACCTATGCCCTTGGACAAAAGTTATTTCTCTTCTCTGAGTTCCATTTGTAAAACATGGATGATGATGATGATGATAATGATGATAACTATTTAATAATAGCTAGTATTTATTGAACACTTAGTATGTACTAAGCTAAATATATCTCTAACCTTTTTACACATATTACCTTCTCTTCTTTCTTATATTTTTATTTTTTAAGGAAAGGGATGGGGGGCTTCAATGGGACTCAAGAAATGGTGATGGCATCACAACCTGAATAGTGTTAGAGACTGGAGAAGGGGGTTTCGGGGCTAGTCCTTGTGTGGGCCCCATGCCCAGCATACAGTAGGTGCTGGGTAAATGCCTGTAGATTTAGGTGATGGGTGTATTCATGGATGAGAGTGCAGCTGGGTAGCCCTGGGGTGCAGCAGTGTTTCTAGCTGTGGTCTCCATGTGTGCTGCTGCGAGTGTGTGCACCCAATATAGATGTGAAATTATGTATTTGTGCATGCCTTTTCACATATTATCTCACTGAATCTTCCTGAAAACCTATGAGGTAGGTACTTATCATCACCATTTTACAGATGAGGAAACTAAAGCACAAGTAAGTCATACCCTCTACCCAAAATCAATGCTAATAAGTGGCAGATCCAAGATTCAAATCCAGAGAGTGTGGCTCCAGTATCCCAGCACTCAACAACGTGCCTGGCACAGAGCAAGCACTCAGTAAATGGCATCTCTGCTCATTACAGATGGTGGTGGGTTTTTCAAATTGGGAAGTACCTATCTTTACCTGCCCTGAAGGGCCGGCAGCAGAAGACTTACACTCCAGGAGTGGCCTGGGCTAGTCTTTGGACCTCAGCTCTTCTGATTCTTATCCTCAAGAGGAGTGCCTACTGTGTACATAAGAAAGCACTACACCAAACACCAGGGCATCCGGTCAGCATCTCGGCCAGGCCATGAGCAGCTATGCGACCAAGGGCAAACCCCTCTCAGATGCCTCAGTTTCTTCTTTGGAAGTTGGGGGTCAATAGTCCCTCCCTCCATAAGATGACGGATGGAAGTAAGTGGTCAACCCCCACCCACGCTTCTGGTGTTGTTGTCATTACCATTGTTATAATCTCAAAGCTGTGGGCTGGACTTCTGGTCGGGTCGGGGCACTGGCCACTCTGCACGTCCCCGCAGCCCTCCCGCCAGACAGGCAGACTCCGGGTGGGCCGTCCCGCTTTAGTGCCTCTGCCAATGATGGATGTGTCTTCGCCAGCCAGACAAGAGGGAGGCCATGCGCCCGAGGCTCTCCTCAGAAGCTGTTTATGGGCGTTGTCCAACCGGGCCATTTAATGTAGATGTTTATTTAACCAGGAAATGAACTTTGAGGTTGACGGCAGTGTCCAGGGACAGACTTCTGGGAACGGGGTTCCTCCCAGGAGTACGGGGCCTGGGGCGCCAGGGCTATCGCCTTTCTCAGGCGCACGCGGTG